TTTAGGATAAGAAAATAAAAGAACCAACGAGAGTATGGATAAAACGAGATACCAAGCAGTGGAGGCTCAAAGGTGACTTAGAAGCTGTATTTTTAATAGCAAAATTAATTGTAGGTGTCTAGGTTGCTCTAGCTGTAGTTTGCTTACCTGCCTCCCATCTCTGGCTGGTCTCTATGACTTGTATTTCGCAGCTAAGGTCAGGGACTTTGAATTTGGTTGAAACTAAGAATCTCAAGTCTAGGAGCCTTATTCTAGAATAGATTCTTAGTGATAAAATAATATAATAGCATCAGTTTTATTGTGTATTAATCATATCCCTGAAAAATGTATGTGTATTTTCATATGCACTTTTTAAATTGCCTTGAGCATTAATTAGTAATCCACTGAAAGTTTTTACTTTTACAGTATAAATTAGCCAAAAAGTCAAAGCTTGAATTTTAAACCAGAATTCTTTATCTAATGTAATATAGATAAAGTATAAGTCATGCCAAATCCCAGTGAAGACTAGGATGACTCTATTGTTAAATGAGACGTGATCTTCTGGTGCATATATCTCCAAAAAAAGTAGTAGTTTCAAAATGAGACGTCATTCCTGGCAAGTTTGTATTAGCGTCTCCCAAGAAATGAACTTTTTGTTTGTTTCCTAGTCTTAAATTTTAAGAGCTTAATGCTGCTTCTATATTAGATAGGTATGTACAATTGAAGCTTGAGAACTAAGTTTTTTTTTAATTCACAACTTTAAAGGTCTGTCTTGCTCATTTGTCTTTCTTAAAATAAACTAAAATAATAATTTCAGGATTTCATTTCTTTCTAACTTCCTATATGAAACATAATTTTTAACTGTCAGCTTTAAAAACAGATAGATGATGGCCTCCATTAGTAAGACTCCAGCCACAGCCCTGATCCTGGCTTCTTTCTTTGATTTCTCTTGTCCAAGGCCCGTCCAAACTATCTGTCAGTAGATGATAACCTTTTTAAATTATAGGGCCCTTTCTTCAAGGTACCAGCTGTTATTTCTGATGCGGCTGTGTTTCACTGTGCTGCTTGCTTATTCTCTCCCACATATGTAGGGCCTCTGCGTTCTGTTATACTTGCCAGATATTTGTATGTATGTATACATAGAAACCAGATCTTTTTAAAGAACTAGTCTTATTTTCATGGTATTATTTTTAACTGTATTATAATTCCTAATCATAATGCATGGTTCTAGATAATTCAGTAATAGGTTACATTGGATAGCTATACATTAGATACGAAGAAGAAAATTATCCTTCATTAAGATAAATAAATACGTTTGGAATGTGTTTTAAAAATATACTTGATCATTTTTGCCCAATATATAAATTTCAAGAGTCTGATCACCTTGATTAATTTTATAGATTTTAAGTGTGTATGGGTATGTGAAAGTGTGTATGTACATGTGTGTATACAGAGTTTTGACTGCTAAGTTGGAAACATAGAAGGGGGAAATAATTACCAAGATTTCTGGCAGAGCACATAATTAGAGTATAAGAGCTCCCCAGCCTGTCAGAAGCAGTTATTTGAAGAGCTTATCTGTCACTCTGAGAAGTTACTTTTACATAGGACAGAAGGCAGGTAGCCTATATCCTGAAACAGTTTTACTTTTCTTTCTTCTGCTACCTTTGTGTGGACTACAGACCTCCAACCCAGGTATATACGTGGACTCCCTTCTTGTCTCTGTCTTCCTCCTGTTCAAAAGTTAGGGAGAGTTTGTGCTCAAACACCCAGTGAAATCTGGCAACTAAGACAGGGTGGGGACTCAGTGGATTGGAGTACCCATCCCCCATCAAAAAGTAGCTGCTGTCACTTGGCTGTATCTACTCTTGAACAATTGGTAATGGAGACCCATTTCTTCCAAAGCTTACAGATTTTTCATTCTGAAAATCCAGATTTGTATTGTATATAATTATTTTTACAATTTATTTATTAGATTTGTATATAAATATTGAAAATATGATAATTGATTCACATTGTTTTTACAAAGACAATGGATGGACATAATTGGTTTACAAGCCATGAATTTATAACTACTGTTCTAGGACAATGATTTTTAATTAGAAGTACACAGTAAAAATCACCTCTGAAACTTCTTTGACAATATGTGCCTAAACTCTTATCCTCAGATTTAACTGCTTAGCCAAATACCATTATATCAGTGTTATCTCTCTGGAGTGTAACTGAGCATTGCTATGATTATGCCCATACCCATGAGGTTTGGCTGACTTAGATATTATACAGTAGATCAGGCTTGGGTTTGTCCTGTTATATATTTTGGTACTATATTTAGACTGTTAGACCAAGAATAAGTGAAGTTATTCCTGCATTTCCATCTGATCCCAACCTGGTACCCTCTCCACTCAGTTTAATGGATAAATGCATCCTGAGTATGATAGTTGTTAGCACAATCAGTGGGGTGGGAAGCTTCTAATCGTCTTACCTAAATGATTATACTTAGACCTAAGTTAGGTTGGAGACCTATTGTTCATTGGATATGGAGTCCAGTAACTTCTGGTTTTTGATAAGTTTGGGAGACTTTATTCACTGACTTTTAGAAATCTTGAGTTCTGTCAAAGGATGTCCATTTTGATCTTTTGTAATCCATTTAGGAGACCCTGGTGGAAGTCTATATTCTAGATCCTGGAAACATTTCCTTGGAGTAGCAACATTTAAATGTATTGTCCAAGAGGCTTGGGTTCTTGGCAGTGGAAAGTAGTAGAACAAAAACCTGCTATGTTTTGGACCTGGGATCCCTGCCTAAAAGCAGGTGCCAGTGAAGCTTTTGCTGAAAAGAAGGGTGTGTTTGTGTTTGTGTGTGTGCTGATGAGTCATAGACCTATCAGAATTTAGAACATTTGTGCCCTGAGATACTGGTATGCAAATGTCCAGGCCAATTGGGCACTATTGTTTACTTACTGAGTGGTTATATTTTATCAAACTAGAAAATTTCAGAACTCTTTTCCTTAGGAGAAATACACCCCACCCCCAAAAAAGCAAATTCCCTGGAAAACCATGTAATGACATCCTTCATTGTTAATCCCCATATCTACCAGGTTTCTAGTAGCCAACCTCTAAACAAGTTCCCACATCTTCTAACAGAGAATATATCCAAGGATCACTCTGTCAGTGACCTTTCTATTATCTTGGGCTAAATTATGCTGTGCTTGCAAATGAGTCAAATTTACAGGGACTTAAAACAACAAATGCTATTTCTCTCTTACGTTTGTGACTGCTTCACAGTATCTTCATGCTAGGTCTTAGGGTGACAGTAGTCCCTGTTTGAATGTGACCAGTCTCATGGCCAAGGGAAGGAAAGAAGCATAAGGAATCATGTGTTTTTTAAAGCTCCCTTCCAGAAGTAACACTTACTAGACTCGGGGTGTAGCTTAGTGGTAAAGCCCTTGCCTGGCTTGTGCAAGGCCCTGAATTTGATCCCCAACTGAAAAAAAAATTATATGTATCACTTCTGTCTACACCTTATTGGCCAAAGCAAGTCACATGGCCAAACCTGATGTGAAGCCAGGTGAGTGTAAGGAATATTTTGAAAAATGATAAAATCTAACACAGTTTTATTTTCTCAAGACTTTAAGGCCTAGTGTTAGGCATCTGTTGTCAGTCAACAAAACTGGGTAGATACTAAGTGAAGTATGTATCTGAATTCCACAGCCACAGCCATGTGGCTTGATATACAGATACACAGAGTTAAAACTCTTATCTGTACTTAGGCAATGAGATCGTAATCCTTATGTTTCCCCAGAGGGCCTCCTGCCATCTCAGAGGTAGATGATAACCTCAGTGGTGGTCAGTGCTCTTGTGGAGAACTATTTTTCCCTTTCCTGTTCTTTTATATCTTCCAAACTCAATTTCTATAGTGTCCACTTCCAAGGGAAACAAAACCTCTGGTTCCCCCTTCTGGCCTTTGTGGAAAACTCAGATAGATTTTAAGAACAATCACAGTATATATAATCTACAATTTCTACCTTGAAATTTCTCCTGTAATATCTAGTTTTTTTTTTTTATCAATTCCTGCTGCCACAAGTTGAGGGTTATGCTCCCTAATGTTAATTGTATTTTTGCTTTCTTACCTTAAATTATGTATCTGACACTTATTTCATCCAGTTTTGTCTCTTCAGTGATGATCTCTGCCCTGTTATAATCTTGTTACATTATTAAGTTACATTCCTTGAATCATGTTAAAGAAAATAGGCCAGCTAAATGCAGTGGTGCATACCTGTAATCCCAACAATTCAGAGCTGAGGGAAGATGACTGTAAGTTTGAGGCCAACCTGGATGACCTAGCTAGATCCTGACTCAAAATAAAAAGGGCCAGGGCTGTAACTCAGTTGTAGAGCACCTCTGGCTTCAAAAAAAAAAAAAAGAATAGGCCAAATATTTCAGTTGTTTTGTGTGTGGCACAGCCCGCTTCTCAGGTTTGGTTTCTCTTTGCCTACCTACCTTATTCTCTGACTAACCATGACTACACTGAAAACCTTAAAATATATATATTTTAGAAAGTTATGTGAAATGCTAAAACAAAATAACATATCTTCATAGGAATATTTTTGAAGTACATTTTATCATAATTATTTACTGATTTGGAAAAGAAATTAACTTTTCTACTTTAAAGGTAAAGTTTTTATTAAAAGTGGTACTGGGCTGGGATTGTGGCTTAGTGGTACAGCGCTCGCCTAGTAAGGGCGAGACCGGGGTTCCATCCTCAGCACCACATAAAAAAAAAAATAAAGGCATTGTGTTGTGTCCATCTATACCTAAAAAAAAATAAAATAAAATAAAATAATATTTATTTATAAAAAATAATAAAATAAAAGTGGTACTTTCAGATAATTATGGTATTTAAAGCCTGTTTCCACCTAGACATTGTAAATATTTGGGTTATTTGACTTGAACTTTTTAAAAAATGCATTTTAAAAAAATAATTGTGTGAGACAATTTCTAAAATATTTTTCCCCTTTTTTTCCTAGATCACAAGAAACACCTGAAGATGGGCAACCCCCAGCTTTACCACCTAAACAATCTAAGAAAAATAGTTGGAACCAAATTCAATACTCACATTCTCAGCAAGACCTGGAAAATCATACTAATGAAGCATTTGATATACCTTCTTCCCCTGAAAAATCTACTGTAAGAAGCTTCTTTACATATTCTCACTTTTCTTTCAATTTCTCAAATCCAAAATTGAGTTTCTTTTTGTACTTTAGCATATTTTAACTATAAATTTTATTATAGTACTTCATCTTTTTCATCATATTCTGTAGTCATAAATTATCCTTTACAAATTTTCTTTTTTCCCCTAGGCATAGAGGTGTATACCTATAATCCCAAGGCCTCAGGAGGCTGAGGCAAGAGAATTGCAAATTCTAGGCCAGCCTGAATAATTTAAAGAGACCCTGTCTCAAAATAAAATAGAACCAGGGCCAGACGTGGTGGCACATGCCTGTAAACCCAGTGATTTTAGAGGCTGAGGCAGGAGGAGCCTCAGCAACTTAGTGAGACTCTGTCTCAAAATAAAAAAGGGATGTGGCTCAGTGGTTAAGTGCCCCTGGGTTTATTCCCTAGTGGAAAGAAAGAAAGAAAGAAAATTCCTTTTTCTTTGGGGGTGGCTGGCTAATGCAAAACATATCTACACTTCCAGAACAAATGTTAATAATCCATTAATTACCACTAATTTTACTACTTACTTAGAGCAGAGACTTTATCTTTTTCATCATCTTTTGAAATTGAGTACAGGTTTTTAGAAGTATTTTAGTGCTTTTGCCTTAGAGAATATGCTTTTACCACAATAAAATGGTGAGTTGGTAGAATACCCTGGTTTATGAATTTTCATTGCTTTTTCAAGTAGATTTAAATAATCCATAAATGAGATTGTCAGTATATTTTGAGGAAATACTGTGCTCCTGAAGAAATTTTAAAACAGATAACTATTGGTGTGTTTCAGGAAACTTAAGAGACATCAAGGAATGGAATAAGATGTAAAAAAGGGAAGGACCACAGCAGATATTGGCATGTATGCCAAAAGCCTGCAGTGGCCATTACAGTCATTGCTCTATTGTTTCTTCAACCATACATCGCCTCTCACATTATCTGAAGTTGAAATTGAAAGGCAACCATTCTCTTATCCCACACTTACTGCTCCAATATCATGGATATAAAAAATAGATGAGGGGCTGGGGATGTGGCTCAAGCGGTTGCGCACTCGCCTGGCATGTGTGCGGCCCGGGTTCGATCCTCAGCACCGAATGCCAACAAGGATGTTGTGTCCGCCAACTAAAAAAAAAAAAAAAAAAAAAAAAAGTTAAAAAAATTCTCTCTCTCTCCTCTCTCACTCTCTTAAAAAAAAAAAATAGATGAAAATCCTTACAAAAACTAAAAAAGTGGGCAAGGGTTGTAGCTCAATGGTAGAGCGCTTACCTAGCATGTATGAGGCACCAGGTTCGATTCTTATTGACACATAAAAATAAGTAAATAAAAATAAAAAAGAACTCTAGTACTACCTCTGTGGTCACTTGCATATCATTTGTTCATGCATTCATTCATAGTCATTGAGGTCTTGCTGAATGCTGGGCACTTTGATGGTAGGAGATATGCAAGGACAAATAAAACATGGTCCCTGCTGTGACATAATTTATAATCTAGATTGTTTCTTTCTTTTTTTTTTTTCTTTTTTTGTACCAGGAATTGAACCCAGGTGCACTTAACCACTGAGCTACATCCCTAGCCTCTTTTTTTAATTTTTAAATTTAGAGATATAGTCTCAGTAAGTTGCTTAGGGCCTCACTAATTTGGTGAGGCTGGCTTTGAACTTGAGGATTAAATAGTAAGTAAGATATAAATAATTCAAATATATAGCATACTAATTTAAATGCTAGAGAGGAAAAATAAAGAAAGAAAGGTATTTAGGGAATTTCCAGAAGTCTTCTTACAATTTTAGATAGTTTGAACTAGGAATGAAATTTGTGATAAGCCATGTAACTATCTAATGGAATACCAGATACAAAGACAGATGTCTTAGTTCATTTTCTGTTGCTATAACTGAATACCATAGACTGGGTAATTTATAAAGAATAGAGGTTTATTTAGTTCATGGGTCTAGAGGTTGGGAAGTTTAAGGACATAGTACTTTCATCTGGTGAAGACCTTCTTGCTGCATCATATTATAGCAGAGGCCATTGCATGGCAAGGTAGATCAAGTGTGCTAGCTCAGGTCTCTTCATTTTGTAAAGCCACTAATGCCATAATAGGGGCCCCACCCTCATACATCTTCCAATCCTAATTTCCTTTCAAAGAGCTCACCTTTAAATACCATTAACATATGAATTTGGGGATTTTGTTGCTAGCATGTGAACATGTGAACTTTAGGAGGACACATTCAAACTATAGCAACAGGAGTATGATTGAGGGGCTGGGGCTCAGCGATAGAGCGCTTGCCTCCCATGTCTGAGGCCCTGGGTTCAATCCTCAGCACCACATAAAAATAAATAAACAAAATAAAGGTATTGTGTTCAACTACAACTAAATATATATATAAAAAGAATATGACTGATATAGTCAAGGGATACCAAGGGAGATAGTGTGGCTACAGAAAGAGTAGTAAAAGAGGAGATAAGCTAGATTCTCAAAGACTTCTGTTGTAAGGACTTTTTGTTTTAACCCTGAGTGAGATAGGAAGTAAATGGACATATCTGAGAAGAGAGGTAACATGATGTCCATGTAGGTTTTTATGGTATCGCTTTGGCTGTATTTCAAGTAGACTGAAAGCAGGGCAGAGGAAGAGATACTGGTTGTGAGGCATTGCAGTATTTCCATCATGTAATGGTGATTTGGACCAGGGTGATAGCAATACAGGGGATGAGAGATGACTGTCCTCTGGATGTATTTTTAAGACATGATATGCTCATGGATTAGATGTGGAGTACTACAGAAAGAAATCAAATATAATGCCAGTGTTTTTATTGAGATGTGAAAGGCTGCAGATGAAGCAGGTACAGTTAGAATGTCAGGAGCTCAGTTTAGAACGTGTTAAGTTTGAAATGTTTATTAAGAATCCTTTTGGAGATGAGGACGATTGGATATATGATTCTGGACTTGAAGGGTGAGGTCTAAGCCAGAGTTATAACATTGGCATGTAGTAGTATTTAAAACCACAAAATAGAGAAATTACCAAGAAAGTTTATGTAAATAAGAGGTTCTAGATACCAAGCCTTCCATCCTCCAATTTTAAAAAATGAAGGAACTGAAAGAAACCAGCAAAGGAGACTGAGAAAATGCAGATAGAAAGGTAGAAGGAAAAGTGGGAAAGTGAATTTATCAAATATCACAGGTAAGTCAAGTAAGATAAGGACTGAAAATTGAACCCTAGATTCAGCAATGTGAAAATCTTTGGTGTCCTTAATTAACAGTTGTGATAGATTGGTAGGGATGAAAATCTGAGAAGTAGGATGGGATTAGAGGAAATAGAGACAGGAATTTCTTTCGGTTTGCTAGTGTTCTTATTAATATAGTGGCAAGAAGGCATGAGAGAATATAACAGCAAGTTATTATTCAAAGAAATTTATTTTCTTAAACTAACATTTTGAGTAGAATTATGATTCTTTATATTCTATAGATAATAAAAGCAAATGAAAAGCATGCTTTATGTATGTCTGTAGGATAAACTATAAATGTAGAAATTTATATATTATTTTTGTCTTTTCAAGCCTAATGGTGGTATTCCACATGATAATCTTGTTCTAATCAGAATGAAACCTGATGAAAATGGAAGGTTTGGATTCAATGTAAAGGTAAGCTGGAATTTATATTGTATTCAGTTTTTACATTAAGTTGTCTTTATCTTGACAATATTTGACCAATACTTTTCTTGTTTTCTTTTCAAGGGAGGATATGATCAGAAGATGCCTGTAATTGTGTCCCGAGTAGCACCAGGAACACCTGTAAGTTATAGTATACTAGCAGCAGCTTCAAGCCAAGTTCTATAACACCAATACCAATACCTCTGTCTGTGTCTATCTTGTTCTCCCTTGATCTCTATCAGTTGTTCCTCCTGAGTCTCTACTAGGCAGAAATTACACAGCTATTACCACTATTCTAATCCTCAATTCTCGGTGGTAGGCATGAGATTTGTATATTACCAGCTCAGTAACCCAGAGGGACTAAACCTCTCAGTCTAATTTGTAAACCCCTAAGAAGTAAATCCTCAATAGATCAAGCTTGGATCAGATATCTTTGGAAAAACTGAAATTATTATTCAGAGATGCATATGAAGGTTGGGTGAAGTAGCCCCAAATTATTTAATCAATAGGAAATATTTATGTGTTTGAGATTACAGATGAAGAAATAAATGTTTGCTGAATTCTCATCTGTCATATAGAAAGTTTATAAATAACATGTAAAATAGAAAAAAGGGAAATGTTATTTAGAGATAGAGGTTAAAAAAATATTACAAAAAGATGTAGCTAAAATATTGAAAGTTGTTGCTTCTAGAGACAGGAAGATAAATGGTAAGGAGAAACACAGAAACTTTCATTTTCTCTCTCTCTCTCTCTCTCTCTCTCTCTCTCTCTCTCTCT